GTGGCGGGTCTCTCGATTTTCGACCTCAGTGGTCGTTCATCTCTCGGTATTCGACCTCAGAGGTTCGGTATTCGGCCTAAGCGGCGGGTCTTTCGGTTTTTAACCTTAGTGGTCATTCAGTGTTCATTTGGGGTCCCGATGCTCATTTGGAGGTTTGGCGACTATTTGGTGGTCGATGATTTATCCAAATTATAAACCTCAGTGGCAAGTTGACGGAAACAGCCCGAAGAGGAATTTCACTCTTGGATCAAGTTATGCTTACTCGACCAGAGTGGGGGGACTAGATGATATAGGATATTATATACTAGACCAGTCTTAATGGATAAAAAGGGAATATATTGAAGAATAAGCCCACACATGGCTAGGACACATGGCATGATGCTATTGGACAAGCCCAACTTGGGCCATAAGGTACATTCCCCCTATAAAAGGGGGCTAAGGTATCCCATTCTATCATCCTCTCTACATTCATTACTACACTTGAGATTTGGAGTAATTCTGACTTGAGCGTCGGAGGCCCGACGCCGGGACCCCTCCCGGCGTTGGGTTCTTGCAGGTACGGAGGCCGACCGAGTCGAAGGAGCCCGAGTGAAATCTTACTCACTTCACAACCAAATACGCATGTCGCCAAAAGACGAAGAGTTGACGGCATTCCGCACTCCAAAGGGTATATACTGTTACAAGGTGATGCCATTCGGCTTGAAAAACGCTGGAGCTACATATCAAAGGGCAATGCAAAAGATATTTGACGATATACTACACAAGAACATCGAGTGCTATGTTGATGATGTGGTGGTGAAGTCGAAGAAGCGAGAAGACCACTTCAAAGATTTAAGGATGGTTTTTGAACGCCTGAGAAGATATCAACTCAAAATGAACCCGTTGAAGTGTGCATTTGGTGTCAAGTCGGGGAAGTTTCTTGGATTCATTGTCCGTCATTGTGGAATAGAGATCGAGCAAGCAAAAGTTGACGCGATACTAAAAATGTCCGAGCCACGCAACATTCACGAGCTTAAAAGTCTGCAAGGGAAGTTAGCGTACCTTCGAAGATTCATCTCAAATCTAGCCGGACGATGCCAACCTTTTAGTCATCTAATGAAGAAAGATGTTCCTTTTGAGTGGGATTAATCTTGTACAAATGCTTTTGAAAGCATAAAGGCATATTTGATGAAGTCTCCCGTGTTAGTCGCACCAGTGGTTGGTCGTCCTCTTATTCTCTACATAGCAGCACAAGAACACTCTGTTAGAGCTTTGCTGGCTCAAGAAAATGATGATGGAAAAGAGAGCGCCTTATATTATTTGAGCAGAACGATGACACCAAATGAGTGAACTATTCACCGATAGAGAAAATATGTTTGGCCTTGATCTTTGCAATTCAAAAGTTGAAGCATTATTTTCAAGCTCATACAGTTCGTCTTGTTTCAAGGGCAAATCCATTGAAATATGTCATGACAAGACCCATCCTCCCAGACCGTTTAGCTAGGTGGTATCTTCAACTTCAACTTCAACAGTTTGAGATTGTCTACATCCCTCAAAAGGCAGTAAAAAGACAAGTTCTGGCAGACTTCTTAGCCGATCACCCTATTCCTGCTGAGTGGGAGTTGTCCGATGAACTACCCGACGAGGACATTCTTCTCATTGAAATTGCTCCTCCTTGGAAGATGTACTTTGATGGAGCGTCTCATAGAGAAGGAGCTGGTGCTGGAGTCGTCTTTGTGACATCCCATGGAGAAGTGCTTCCATATTTCTTCACTTTAACTGAAAATTGCTAAAACAACGTCGCGGAGTATCAAGCTCTAATTCTGGGGTTGGAGATGGCCGTGGACATGAAACAACTACATCTGAAGGTCTAAGGAGATTCAAAGCTGGTGGTAAACCAACTTCTTGGAGAATACGATGTAAAGAAGCCTGAGCTGCTCTCGTACGTCGACTATGTGAATAGGCTCATGGGATGGCTTGGAGATGTTACGATCGATCATGTGCCGAGGAAGAATAATAAACAAGCTGATGCTTTGGCAAAACTCGCTTCTTCACTCATCCTTCCCGAGGATAGGGCTCGAGTGAAAATTTGTAGAAGTTGGGTTATACCTCCGATTTTCGACGATGATGATTGGAAAGAAGATGAAACACATGTGGTTGAAGTATTCGATATTGAAAGGGAAGATTGGTGTCAATTGCTCGTGGATTACTTGAAGTATGACAAGTTGCCCAATGATCCACGACAAAGTTTTATGTTCGACGTCATGCGCCTCGCTTCATTTATTTCAATGATGTATTGTATAGACGGTCGTTCGATGGAGTATTCTTAAGATGCCTAGGCGACGAAGAAGCTGCTCAAGCTATTGAAGAGGCTCACTCGGGCATCTGTGGCGCTCATCAGTCTGGTCCGAAGTTGCACTTCCGAATTAAGAGAATGGGATACTACTGGCCGACAATGGTTAGGGATTGTATGGACTATGCCTAAAGATGTCAAGCGTGTTAATTTCATGCAAATTTGATCCATCAACCTCCTGAGCCGTTGCACCCAAATGTCGCTTCATGGGCTTTTGATGCTTGGGGATTAGATGTGGTTGGTCCTCTGATAAAGTCTTCGGGTGGTCATCTTTATATTCTGGTTGCGACTGACTACTTCTCAAAATGGGCTGAAGCAGTTCCCTTGAAAGAAGTGAAGAAAGAAAATGTTGCTAACTTTATTCGTGTAAACATCATCTACCGATATGGAATCCCACGGTACATCATCACGGATAATGGGAAGCCTTTCAGCAACAGCCTGATTGATAAGCTTTGCGAGAAGTTCAACTTTAAGCAAAGAAAATCTTCTATGTACAATGCGGCGGCTAGCAGTGTCAAACGGGCCGGTCCGGTTCGGCCCGCTCCGGTCCGCGGTTCAAACGGGCCGGGCCAAAATGGCCCGCATTTCTACGGGCTGGAAAATCCATGGCCTGTGGCCCGCCCTCATTAGCCCGCGGGCCAAATCGGCCCGCCCGCGGGTTTTTTAGTAATATGCATTCTTATATACTTTTTGATTTATTTATCCTTATATTTACTAGTATATTAATAAACTAGTAAGGTTTCATGTGTAATGATGTTAAATATTTGTCATCCATTGTACCAAAAAAAAAAAATATTTGTCATCCGGTTTTTATTTTTATTTTTTTTATGTATAGTTATAGGGTATTGACGCGGAGGAGAGACTTAATTCACAGAAAATATTATTTGATTCATTAATATTTTTATTATGTATAAAACTGTTTCATGTGCATTCACAAATCTTAATATCATTGTCAAATTTTAAAAAAATATAAAATAAATAAATATGGAAGAAGAAGAAGAAAAAAAAAAGACGATAAAAACAAACTCCAACAAAATGCACATGAAATAAGAAATATTAAATTTAAATAATATAAAATTAACAAATAAATAAAAACGGGTTGGACCGCGGGCCAGCCCGCCCCGGCCCGCTTTAGACCGCGGGCCGAACGGGGCGGGCCAAATAGGCCCGCGATTGAACAGGCTGGCCAAGCAAAGGCCCAAGCCCGTCCATTTAGGCGGACGGACGCGCCAGCCCGCGGGCCATGGCCCGTTTTGACAGTGCTAGCGGCGACTAATGGACTTGCTGAAGCATTCAATAAAACTTTATGTAGTATTTTGAAGAAAGTCGTAGCCAAGTCAAAGAAGGATTGGCACGAGAGAATTCATGAAGCACTATAGGCGTATCGCACCAGTTATCGGACTCCCACTCAAGCGACCCCGTACTCGCTTGTATATGGAGTTGAAGCTGTCGTTCCCCTCGAACAACAAATTCCATCATTGAGGATCGCCATACAAGAAGGATTGACTGAGGAAGATAATGCACGATTGCGCCTTCAGGAATTGGAAGCTCTTGATGAAAGGAGGTTGGAAGCGCAACAAAGACATGAATGTTATCAAGCTCGTCTTTCAAAGTCGTTCAATAAGAAGGTCCGAGCTCGTTCTTTTCAAGTAGGAGATCTGGTGCTTGCTGTGAGAAGACCCATCATAACTACTCATCGTGTTGGGAACAAGTTCGTGTCAAGATGGGATGGACCGTATGTCGTCACGGAAGTCTATACCAGTGGCGCGTGTAAGTTAATTTCAGAGGATCGAGTCATGATTGGGCCTATCAATGGGAAATTCTTGAAACGCTACTACGCTTAGTAGTACTATGTATTAATTTAAAAAAAATCAAAAAAAAAAAAAAGTACTCTTGACCCGCATGAGTATAAACTGTGAACGGTAATCACCAAAAAGTTTTGCATGTGATTAAACTGCTAAATTCTCCACCAATGTGAATATATATGGTTAAACTTTTAATTCTCCCACTAAGGTGTTATGTGGTTAAACCTAATACTCTACTTTGTCTAAAGTAGTTAAAGAAAAGTCACTCCTGACCCGCATGAGTATAAACTGTGCACGGCACCCCCATAAACAAATTCGTGTTACTTTAAATTACGTTATGACTTGATCCTTTTAAAAGGTACGTAGGCAGCTTAGATATTTTCTAAGTTCAGTCACAAATTATATCCGTCTTCTAAGTTAGTCAATTTCAGTTGATTTGGCGAGGAAATGAAGTGCAACAAATGTTAATGTTCGAGATTGCATGATGTGAAAGAAACAAATCATTCCATTCCATAACCTTGAGCCTTATTACATGAAGAAATGAATTCCATAACCTTGAGTCTTATTACATGAAGAAATGAGTAAAAGAGCCGCAAACATGCCTAAGCAAAAGGATTCAAGCTCCCTAGCTTCTCTTTAATCGCCCTCAAGTTTGACTTCAATATCTTCAACTGCTCAATTACTCATTCGTCCAGCGGTGGAGCACTGTTGATGGAAAGGATCTCCTCTTGAGTTAAATTCACCTTGGCTTCAGCATTGTCAAGTGACTTCTGCTGCTTCAACTTTCTTGGTATCTCGTCCAATCTTGACGCGGTCCTCTTCAACTAGTCCAATGTTAACATGGTCATCTTCGACACGAGAACCTGCGGCACAAACACCGTGGCCACGGTCATCTTTGACCTTTCTGGTGAGATGTGTCGCTCTAAGTTGATGTCGTATGGCAAAGTTGATGGTTCTTTCGTGCAGCTTGGCCGGTGAGATGTGACGTCCTAAGTTGTTGTGCGGCAAGGTTGATTCTTTCATTCAGCTTGGCCGATGAGATGTGTTGTCCTGAGTTGATGTCGTACGACAAAGTTGATGGTTCTTTTGTGTAGCTTGGCTGGTGAGATGTGTCGTCCTAAGTTGATGTTGTACAGAAAAGTTGATTCTTTCGTGCAGTTTGGCCTTTGAGAATGTTGTCTTAGCATTGGCAGTAGCTCCATCTCTCGTTGAGTTGAGTTGGTTGTGGTTGCTTGCAAGATCCATGTTGTAGACTTCTAATAGGTATACTCTCGAGTCCACTTGCTCGTGTGAAGAGACTTTGTAACTCTTGGCCACGTCCTCGAGAAATCACCATGATAAGGTCTTTGACTGCAAGGCGAGTCCCTTTCTCCAACTGTTGGTGTTTGTCGTCGAGAACCAATAGATGTCTTTTCCTAGGATGGAAGTGCTCGTGAGAACAGCCTCAGTTCAACCCGGAAAGCCCTCGAACAGTCCCGCTTCAGCCGACTAACTTCCCGCTTCAGCCCGGCAGCTTTCCGTTTAGCCCGACAGCTTCTCGAACAGCCCCGACAGCTCCCGTTCAGCCCGGTAGCTTCCCGCTTCAGCCTGATAGCTCTCGTTTCAGTCCGAACAGCTCCCGAATAGCCCCGTTTCAGCTCGCAAGGCGCCTGGACAACCATAGTTTTAGCCTGAACATCCCCGTAAAGGAGCGAAAGCATGTGAACAACCCCGTTTGAAGCCTCGACAAACATACGAATGTCCGGAACGAGGTGCTGCAGCTCAAACGTAACGAAAGAAAGAGAATAAACGGGGAAAACCCCTTTCGGGCAATCAGTCGAACACTTGAAAGGTGACCGTATAAATGGTAGATGTTGATGAGAAGCTTTGAAGCACACCAAAAAATCGATGTACACAGCAGCATCATACATACGAACAACAATAATGCTCATCAGTCAAAAAAAAAAAAAAAAAAGTTGCAGTTTTAGCTCGAAAATAAAAAGAACGAGAAAGGAGGAGAATAAGGAATATACCTGTTCGATGGCTTCTCGATTTGTGACGATGATGAAACTCGAGACCCCCTTTTTATAGGGTGGAGTTCCGGAGAATTTAGGAAATTTCATGTCTCAATCTGAGGAGGAATCGGGCTGTAGGTTGTCTCAGTACGGAAAGAAAAAAAATGGACGTAGGTTTTTTGAGTTGGAAAGAAAATGAGAAAATTGCAAATTTGGTCCCAAAACTTTTGTTGTTTCCCACATTTAGTCCTAGGCACGTCAATTATAGTCCTTTTTGAATTTTCGTTGCCAAAATGGTCCCACGTCCGTCAATATTGACGGGGCTCGTGTGAGGACGTTAGAGTGGACCAATTTTGCAATTTTTCTAAAAAAAAAAATTAGTTCTTCAAGTTCTTCAAGTCTCTCTCATTCACTCAAATTCGAAATGACATAATAAAATTAATTTACTATGAATATTATGCGAGAAATAAATATTAAAAATAATTTTATAAAATAAATATCGAGTGGAAAAGTAAAGGCGTTGATAAATTTTAATTTTGGGTGGAAAAGTAAACGATATAATTGCTAATTGTGTGGTATTTGTTTTATTTTCTAATATTTATACCGTCATTACTTAATAAATATTAGCAATTATTTGAATATTATTTAAATTAAAGAATATTTAGAAATAATATTATTTTAATTAAATAATCAAACCAAAGACATAATCCAATTTATCAAAATAAGAAAAAATGTGAGTATGCTTACAATAATACTAATCCGTCTACACTATTAAATATTAGTACAATGTGATAATTTATATATATCCTTACAAACTTTATTAAATAATACGAATTAAAAAAAACACAATCTAAACAATTTTTTTTTATTACTGTCTATTTTTATTTTAATAATTTTTTATTTATCAATTTGATTTTGACAACTACAAATTGAAACATCTATTTATTTATGCAAATTACATCTATATAAAAAATTTCAATTTTAAGCATAATAAAACAAAATTTGGCATTAAATTAAGTGAAAATAGACATTTGCTCTCACTTATTTATAGTAAAATATATCATATATATATATATATATTTTGCATCTCATTTATCATGAACTAATTAATTTTATACACCTTTTGTTTAGTTACTCAATTAAATAATCATTTTATGTAAAAAAAATCAAGTTAAACTTTAATTTAAGTTAAAAAAAAAATGTGAAAGAATTGTATGTTAATTATATTTATCTTTTATAATTTATTAAAAAATAAGCTAAATGTATTGTTAGGAAATAATGGTAATATACCTTTTTAACATTTACTAAAAGATTTTTAAAAATATGTTTCTAATAAAAATAAATTTAAATAATTTTTATCACTTACTCTTTAAGAAAATTACAAATTTGGTCCTGAAACTTTTGTTGTTTCCCACATTTGGTCCTAGGCTATAAACGTTGACCGTTAAGTCTTGACGGAGTGGGACCATTTTGGCAACGAAAATTCAAAAAGGACTATAATTGGCGTGCTTGGGACCAAATTTGTAATTTTCTCGAAAGAAAATATATTGTCTTCCATAATTTGGCTGGGCGCATGATTTTACCTAGTAAAGAATTAAAGTCTTTAGTGTTTAATTACCTTTGCGGGTATGGCTCCATAGCAAAACCGGGACTGATATGCCTGGACAATCTTGGAAAATCTATGTGAATGGAAAAATTGATTTTCTCACCAGGCACAATTTTGTCGCATTATATTCCCTCGGTTTGCAAGGAATTAAGTTCATGATCAAATGGGCATTAGCTTATATGGATTCGTGATGGGCCGTAATATAGTTGGAAGTTGGACCAACATGTAAATGGAACCAAGACTAGCTGATACGGATTCATGATGGACCATGATGTAATTTGTTAGTGTTGTGGATTTTGCTTAAAGGCTCAGTTTGGCCTGCTTTGAGGGTTTGAAGTTGTTCAGTACCCGTATTAGCATAGATTTGTTAGTTGCTTGTGAAAACTTGTAATCAGTTGATTATTCCTGTTGAACCTTATTTGAGTTTAATTCCAGTTTTATGTTTTGGAAAAAAAATAAAAAAAAAATCTAACTATCTATATCTATCTAGTTTTATGTTTTAATTCAGTTTTCTGTTTCTATTCTATACTATTACAAAATAAAGAATGATTTTGTTAAAAATTGCACGGACTTCATATCTCTAATTTTAACATGCTAATAATGGCAAAATTGTAATAGTAATTAGTAACTCCAAAATATATAAGACTCTTAATAATGAAAGACCCCAGTGAATAAACAAATTTTTGAAGTCCCATACATAATTAGTATATTATCAGACTTGGTTATTTTTTTTAATTGCATGTTTGTGATTGTGGTGGTTACAATGTGATGATGTACATATTTTGTTTGTCACCAATTCCTTTAATTTTTTTTATAAGAAATTCAAATAAACTATATAAAGTCATAGCCACTATATTGAATAATTAAAACAAATATTCTACATGAAAAGACTGATTAATGAAGATGTACTATATTAATCATAAAACTTTAAAAATCAAATATACTGTTAAAAAATTAAAGTTTCATGATGTGTATATTATAACTGTTACTTGTTTTGAATAATATAACAAGTATTATTAAAGAAGTTTCATTGGTTGTTTAACATGATGATATCAATCTTTTATCAAAATATGTACTTTTAAATCAGAAAATAAATAACTTTATAATTATATTATAAAGTATACTACACGATAAATAGATAAAACTAAATAGATACTTTTACATTACACACACACATAAAAGAAAAAAAAAATCAGGAAATCAATTAGCATAATTAAAAATAATGTTAATATGCGGAACCAATTTAGAATTTTAGAGAGTTTATAATCATGCTATGCATAAGGGTAGCTATCAATATTTTAATCCATTGCCTCTATGTGGCTAAAATACAGTAGTTTTATCTATGAAATAGTCAATTATTTATTAAGAAAATATATCATATTATTAAAGACCAATTCATAGTGAATTTATGAATAACTCAATGAATTGATTAAAATAAATAATAATAATAACTAATATTAAACTATGTACTAAATAGTTTAGTCAAAAGGTGTCTTTCATTAAAATAAAATTTAACAACTATTTTCAATAATATTTGTATCGACAATGTCAATTTTGAAAAGGTAACAAAAAATTATAAATTGAAATATAATGGTAAAAACTACTCTATAATAGAACAATGGATAACATGTAAAAAAATTAAATGCAAAGACTTATTGCCAAATAAATGAATGTATTGTTTAAGATATCTTTTATATTTGATATATTTATAATAGTAAAACGATAATTACAACGATTAGTAAAAGAGATAAATACATAATTAAATGTAAAATTATAAGTATGCATAATAAAAAATAAAATTAAGTTAACTAAAAGAAACTGAACATAATTGTCAAATAAATTATTATATATCAACTTTGAATGGAGATCTTTTTGCGTAACTATAAAGTAAGACATTTGATTCATATTTCTATCATGATGAATTATATTGAAATATTTTACAGAGTTAAAAAATAAAAAATATAAAATATATTAATATAAAATAAATAATACGCAAATAGCTTACATTCTATGAAATATTATTTAAAATACATGAATTATCTTTTTATTGTCAATATCATAAACTAAATCTTTTAATTTATTTGTTAATCACTCATGAAATAAATACATGATTACGCCGTAAACTAAACATGGAGATTTTTGATGTAGGGAAACTGGACATATAATACCAAACTAGTGTGTATCCCGTGCGCTGCACGGAGGGGTTTTTACTTAAAACCTTTTCTAAGACTTTATATTAAACATAGTTATTTATGTTTAACATCTTATTATTATAAAAAAAGAAATACCAAATATGAAAAATTATATATTATTTATTTGAATATAATGAGTGTCCCCAACCAAACTAATAACATCCAACATATGATATATGATAAAATTAATTATATGATCGTCATACTTTTTGAAAAAATATACATATATTTCTAATAAACATGTAAGATCCGCATTTAAATTTGTATTTGGATATGGGATGAAAAATAAATATGTACAAATAAAAAAGTACCAAGAACCTACATAAAATGAGATTCTTTATAAACTTTAAAATATTTTGTAGTTAAGCAAATATTAACAAATTAACAAAATCATCAATTAAGTTGAACTTATCGAATATAAAATATAATTTATGATATCATTGACCATATTTACCCGTTATATTTAAAGTTATCATTGACCATATTTTTATGAATTAAGGTTTACAAAATATCTTTTTCAAAATAACAATTTTTTTTTTTTAATTTGAATTTGACTTTTTCATCCAACCGCCATTTTCCACAAAAATAAAAATAGTATTTTGGAAAATTTTAGGCGTGAAAATCAAATAAAATTAATTTAATAGTAATCGATTAATTTAGTATTATTCAAAATTGTTTAATTCGGTCAACCCGATCTTAGTGCACGTTTAATTGAAACAATCGCTTACCAAAAAAAAGGTAATCGCTTACCAAAAAAGGAAGTGAAATCTATCTATATAATATAAATCGGATTTGAAAAAAATAAAGGAAATGAAATTTCATAATTAGTTAATTTAAATTGATGTTATCCGATTTATATCAACTCCCTTCCAAAAAAAAAAGAAAATATCCGATTCCTACCAAATCGATTCAAATAAAAAAAGGATTATGATATACGTCCAAATAAATTACAATTGAAATGTAGGCGGGATTATGGAAAAAAAAAATAAAAAAACTTTACCGAATAAAGTAATAAAACGAAAAAAAAAGCGGGAATATGAAGCGGGAAAATAAGATAATTTTTTTTGAGTTTTTTGAACAATTTTTCTTAGTCGTAATAATAGTAATAGATTTCCAAAATGTTACCACACATTTTTTTCTATTTTTCTTGTTTTTATTAAATTTTATTTATATAAGATATACATTGGTTAATTTTAAATTGAATCTAAAAGTCAACTCCTCACACTTTTCGAAAAATGTTACCACACAAATTTTTTTTTCTTATTATGTTTTATTTACATAAGATATACATTAGTGGTTAATTTCAAATTAAATCTAAATTCAACTCCTCACATTCTTGAATTTGAATTTTTAAATAAGGAAATGTGTTTCCATATTTTTTGGTAGTTAGAATATGTTGGATTCATTTATCTATAACTAATCATATACGTATTCAAAATTTGAACCCAAACAAAATTCTTTGAATTTTTTGCTAACAAAATCACCTTCCCATAATTTATTTATTCCGAAAAATGTTACCACACAATCTTTTTAATTTTGTTTTTCTATTAAATTTATTTACATAAAATATACATTTGTTAATATTAAATTGAATTTAAAATTCAACTCATCACAAATTTGTATATATATATATATATATAGAGAGAGAGAGAGAGAGAGAGAGAGAGAGAGAGAGGGGATTCTCTTTTTTTTACATATTTAAAAAAAATCTAATCAAATTTTGAATCCCGAATTAAAATCGAATTGTAATGTGAACTGAAAAGATTTGAAATCTAATCATGTTGTAGATAAGGGAAATCCATGGCAAAAAAAGGGGATGAAAAAAATTCAAATTAAATTTAAGGGGGGAAAACAGTTTTTTAAGCGGGAATTTGAAATATTTTTTCAAACATTTTTTCTTCTCCGTATTATATAGTAATAGATTGAACAAATTTAGTAACTTTAAAAATTTTAGGTGGAAATTTCACTTATATTAGAAAATAAATAATTCTCTTATTGTAAGTAATTCTCCTTATTATATAGATTAAATAGATTTGTGTAACTGTGTTCAGGAGCATAACATAAAAGTAGTAAAAAAAAAATCTCAGTTAAAATAGAACGCGTTTTCTGTTCTTCCATGAGCTCTTGCATTGTTGGAAACTCGGAACTTTAAAAGGAAGTTCAGCCCCTATAGCAATTCTTCTCGCCGAAAGTTCCTCGACGTTTGTGCTTTTTCTCGTCACAATCTGCTCAGCTGTTCTGCGGTGGGATCCATTTGGCGCCCAACTGCCGAACATTTTTGTTTCTTGGTAGCCTGTGAAGATGGGGTTTTCAGCAGTCGCTATTTCGAGTTCACTATGGGGCGGTTATACTAATGGAAGCCGTCCTCGGCAAAGAGGATCAATAAAGATTTTACCTTTCGACAGTAATCACATGCTCAAATTGAACAATCTCACAATTGCTGAGGTTTTCAGTAAGCCCCAATCGACGAGGTCCTCTTTCTGCGCGTCCGAGGTCATTGATTTTGAGGAGAGGACAAGCCCTGCTGAGGTAAATTTGATGATGTTTTTAATTATTTTTATACAATGTCCTCCAATAGAAATACAATCTTGTGTCAGCGTTCTCTATGTTGAGCAGGGTGAAGTGAACTGCCCTGCTGGTTTAGATGGTTGTTTTGCATTTCCATGAGCTTTTTTTTAAATGTGTTTCTGTTTTTCTTTCCAAGCCCTTGTGGAAGATGATCTGTTCGAGTTGGTACTAAAATGTTCAGAATCTGAAATTTGGCTCGGTACTCCATTGCAGTCATATTCTGTGGCTATGCCCTCATTCATCCACTAAAAACAAAATAATACACACACACACACTTACTTTATTTAACTAATTGCCTTTTGTATTAACTGCAACAAAACAACAACAAAAAACAATAACATAGCCTTTAGTCCCAAACAAGTCGGGGTAGGCTAGAGATGAAACCCAAGAGAAACACAAAAAGACTCGAACCGAAAGGAAGAGATCGAAAAAAACACGAGAGAGAGAGAAAATAGCAAAAGTCACTGTTCTGGCACGTTGATAGCGAGCCTCCAAGCGCTCCTATCCACCGCTAAATCCTTGGAGATATTCCAATCTTTAAGGTCTCTCTTAACCGACTCTTCCCAAGTGAGTTTAGGCCGACCTCTACCTCTCTTAACATCCTCGACCCGCTGTAGAACTCCCCTACACACCGGTGCATCAGGAAGCTTCCGTTGGACATGTCCGAACCACCTCAGCCAATGTTGAACCAATTTCTCCTCAATTGGAGCCACCCCGACCCTATCTCGAACATCCTCATTCCGGATTCTATCTCTTCTTTTGTGCCCGCAGAACCAACGCAACATATGCATCTCTGCTACACTTAGTTGTTGGACATGTTGCTTTTTTGTAGGCCAATATTCAACACCGTATTGCATCGCCGGGCGAATCGGCGTCCTATAGAACTTACCTTTTAGCCTTTGTGGCACCCTCTTGTCACAGAGAACGCCCGAAGCTTGACGCCATTTCAACCAATCGGCTGCAGTTTTATGCCTATCATCTGCATCAATGCCTCCATCCTTTTGTAGCATCGATCCTAAATACCGAAAAGTCTCCTTCTTGGCCACCACTTGCCCGTCAAGGCTAACATCACTATCATCATGTGTAGCCATGCTGAAAGTGCACTTCATGTACTCGGTCTTCGTCCTACTAAGTCTGAAGCCTTTCTACTCTAACGTGTCCTTCCACAGCTCTAACTTCCGATTTATCCATGCCCTACTCTCGTCAACTAGCACCACATCATCAGCAAAGAGCATATACCAAGGGATATCACCTTGTATGTCCCTTGTGGCCTCATCCATCATTAAGGCAAATAAATAAGGGCTCAATGTTGACCCCTGGTGTAGTCCTATTTTAATTGGGAAGTCGCTGGTATCGCCCCCACATGTTCGGACACACGTCATCGCATCCTTGTACATATCCTTGATGAGGGTAATGTACTTACATGGGACTTTGTGCTTTTCTAAGGCCCACCACATGACATTCTTCGGCACTCTGTCATAAGCCTTCTCAAGGTCGATGAAGACCATGTGGCAAGTCCTTCTTTTGGTCCCTATATCTCCCCGTCAACTGTCGTATTAGGAAAATCGCCTCCATGGTCGACCTTTCAGGCATAAACCCAAATTGGTTTTGGGTCACACTCACCACTCATCGTAGGCGATGCTCGATAACCCTCTCCTAGAGCTTCATCGTATGGCTCATCAACTTAATCCCACGGTAGTTACCACAGCTTTGAACATCTTCCTTGTTCTTGAAGATCAGTACTAAAGTACTTCTTCTCCATTCGTCAGGCATCTTGTTTGACCGGAAAATGAGGTTAAAAAGTTTAGTTAGCCATACTAACGCTCTGGCGCCCAAGCATCTCCACACCTCAATGGGGATACCATCAGGGCCCATTGTTTTACCTCCCTTCATCCTCTTCATAGTCTCTCCGATCTCTGCCTCTCGAATTCTCCTCACCAAGCGTCTATTGGTATTCTCAAATGAGTCATCCAACTCCAGGGTAGGACCCTCACTCTCCCCAATAAACAATTTGTCGAAGTACTCTCGCCATCTGTCCTTGATCCCCCATCATTCACCAGCCGCCGATCCGACCCATCCTTGATGCATTTGATTTGGTTGATGTCCCTTGTCTTCCTCTCCCGAATCCTAGCCATCCTATAAATCTCCTTCTCCCCCTCCTTCGTGCCTAGGTGCTGATAAAGGTCATCATAGGCCTGACCCTTCGCTACACTCACGACACGCTTTGCAGCCCTTCTCGCTATTTTATAGCTCTCAATGTTGGTTGCACTCTTGTCAAGGTGGAGACGCTTGAAACACTCCTTCTTCTCCTGTATAGCCCTTTGCACCTCGTCATGCCACCACCAAGTGTCCTTCGCTTTCTGCTTGCCTCCCCTGCTCACACCAAGTACTTCTGCAGTCACCTTCCGTACACATGTTGCCATCTTTAGCCACATGTCATCTGCATCTTCTCCTTCTTCCCAAAGCCCCTCACCTAGCATCCTATCCCTAAACGACTGCGCCGCTTCCCCTTTAAGCTTCCACCACTTCGTGCTCACGGTCTTGGCACGTTTGTCCCGGTGGACACGAATTCGGAATCGAAAGTCCGCCACCACCAACTTATGCTGGGGGACAACACACTCCCCAGGTATCACCTTGCAATCTACGCAAGCGCGTCTATCCTCCTTCCTTGCAAGGATAAAGTCGATCTGACTTGAGTGTCGTCCACTATGGAAGGTCACTAGGTGAGATTCCCTCTTCCTAAAGAGGGTGTTCGCTAACAACAAGTCGTAGGCCATCGCAAAGTCCAACACACTCTCCCCCTCTTCGTCCCTACTACCATACCCAAACCCTCCGTGCACTCTCTCAAAACCTACATTAGTCGCACCCACATGGCCGTTTAGGTCTCCTCCTACGAAGAGTTTCTCGCTGGCAGGCACCGTACTAACCAAGGTATTCAGATCCTCCCAAAATTGCCTCTTTGCGCTCTCACTAAGACCTATCTGAGGGGCATAGGCACTGATCACATTCATGGTCAAGTATCCAACTACCAATCGGACTAGGATAATCCGGTCGCCTTGCCTCCTAACATCTAAAACTCCATCCTTAAGGTTCCTATCGATCAAGATGCATACACCATTCCTACTCGATGAAGCCCCAGTGAACCAAAGCTTGAAGCCAGTATCCTCCACCTCCTTTGCCTTCTATCCCTTCCATTTAGTCTCCTAAACTAAACATGTTTACATATTTTACATAACTGATGGCTGCTTTGGTTATTGCTTGAGATGCATTAACTGGGGTTTTCAATCACCTGGCTTCATATTTTTCTTTCATGACCATATGCAATGCTGGGATTTACATTTGAGCAATCTGCTGTTCGTAAGTATAATGATATCCATTGTTTGCGTCCTTTGAATAATGTAGTTTGGCTTGTTGGCTTGTCCTGTGTACTCTGTGTTGTATTCTAATTTATATGATTGATGACCAAAACCTACTCTTGGTTGTTTCCTAATAAAAAACCCAGAAATTTTAATCTTGCATAGTTCTAGGTGTGTCCAACTAGAAACCCAGAAAATGTACGGTTACATGATTTCTTTTTGTGACAAAAGGTCAAGAAAGAAATCGAGCAGTGCTATGAACTCATTCAAAGACTTGGCAGAGGTGCTGTCTACTTGGGTTCGTCAAGGTTGGGACCTGACCATCCACATTATATACAAGCATTCAATTTGGCAAAAGATGTAAGTCTCTATTCAGGTTTGCATGTTATCCAAAAGAAAGGTAAATTTCTTGTATTTATTAATTTGAATCGCTTAATTTGATGTTTGCAGATTGCGAATCTCTTAAATTGTACTTCATGGTCAGGAGCGGGACCCGGGCTAATGGATGCAGTTACTAAAGGCGCTCTCCAATCAGGAAAGCCCGTTGGTGGATTCAAGATAGCTAAGGAAGCTGGAGAATGGACTGCAACTAATTTTCATCCGTACTTACCATCAGACAGTTATTTAACTTGCAGGTAATTAATTTATCCCATCTAAACAGAATTTCAATAATAGTAATAATATTAACAAAAAAAAAAAAACATGTGCAGGTTTTTTTCTGCAAGAAAGCATGGTTTGGTTGATGCAGCTGTTAGAGTTAGTCAGTCAGAGAAGACAGCAGTTATTGCTCTTCCTGGTGGAATTGGCACTTTAGACGAAGCTTTTGAAATTTTGGCGCTCGTTCAACTGGAAAGAATTGGGTCGACTTTTCCCGTTCCTTTCCTTGTGATGAATTACGACTCGTTTTACTCGAACCTAATGGAGTTTATCGAGGATTGTGAGGGTTGGGGTACTGTTTCGAGCGGTGAGGTGGCATCGTTGTGGAAAGTTTGCAACACCAACTATGAAGCTTTGGCTTACCTGGCAGAATACTATGGGACCTCCTACTAACAAAAGGTGCCCACAACCCATTCTTTTGGTCGAGGCTTTAGTGTGATGCTCGTTTATGCCATCTTTTATACTTACAATTGTAGGCAGCATTGATGAAGAATTTAAACTTAATGTCAAAAGTAAAACTGCTTTGGTGGTGTATCCCAGTAGTTTAGACGTTGAAAAATGTTGTGTTTTAATTATTTGATAGGCAGGGATTGTTGAAAAATCAAGAAATGATGCATTTTTCTTAGATTTTGGAGAATAATATCTAGGAGTGCATGGTGATAATTATTACTTATTTTTCATTCATGCTATCAGGAATGTGGTCTAGTTTATATGAATATTTACTGTATGGATTGCAAAAATGCTCCCAATATGTTTTATCTGTACTTCGTCCTGAAAGTTTAGACGTGGAAAAATCTTTGTAGCATTTGTTATTTTAGAACATTGGTAATGCAAAAATTTTCATAACATTGCAGATAGTCAATAACCATGATTATTTTCAAATCCTTCATAAAATGAAGACATATTAACAAAGAGATAAGGAGTTAAGGACAGTCTCCTTCACCAAACAGGGTTTATAATGCCCCCTGGCACAAGGACTGAAACTATTAAAAAAAAAATAAAAAAAAATGAAAATAACTAAATAAGAGCTTTAAAAAACGCTCATAGACTCAACTAAAACTGACAAAATTCCTTATCACAGACTCACATCACTCTGCAACAGTCGATATCAGCCGATCGATCCTTTGGCCTCTGACCATAGTTATAGTTATACTGATAATTCTCATACGAATGGTTATGATCATAATCGGCATAAGGATGATGATTGTAAATGTGGTTTGATATTTGATTCTGCCCAGAAAAGGGCATGAATAGGTTGCTTGAGCACTCTCCAAACTGAAGCCAGATTAGATGTGCTTTATTCCTGTTATTTCCAAGCATTTTCAACAGTTGATTCGGGTCGACTATGCCCGAGATCTCAACCATACCATGCTCGTCCATTCTGAAATTGCACACTCCTGCACACTCAAACTCAAATGCATGTAAATAATAATAATAATAATAATAATAATATACATCTACAAATTCATTTTTATTTACACATTTATGAAATTTTTCATCTTGTCGATACTATTGACCCTAAAACGGGAAAATTGAACGAAGGCTCAGGCAAATTGGCTTCGAAATTCAAATGAGACTAATTAGAACGTACCGTGGCATTTGTTCAATATTTTTGTAACAGTAGAAAATCCAATATTCACCTTCACAAGACAAGTCTGCAAAATCATTAGTATATCATCAGCAAACACGAATAAGAAGTATTTTAATAATAAGTACAAGAACAACAACAACATACTCAGTATATTTTAATAATAAGTAACCTAAAAAAAAAAAGAATGCTGTAAAGAAAACGAGGTTCAACCATAAACGGATAATTTGATGTCGGCGCCATTTGGATAACCAAGCTTATCAAGGAATGATTTTTAGAGGATAGAGTTTGTTAATTTTGTGATGAATGAATTAGATTAAACCGTTATAACGATATTTATAAAGGGACGGATAAAAATAAGATTATGGAAACAAATCTTGCTGAAAAAATCAAGTATGTAATATATCTTTAAAATGGCAGTTATTTATCTTCATACATCCTCTATGGATCAGATTTCTAAAAGGAATTAGTAAAATGAAGGAATAGAGAACAATATACTGTGATATATGCAGTATCTACAACATTTAATAATTTGATATTTAATTGCGATTGAATATGGATTTTTTTTAATCGCGCCCAAATACATGTTATAGTACACGTTTAGCAACTAAAATTTGTCCAAATAGCTGTAAGATTTGGGTATAATACATGTTACTAAACCTAGCTATGTATGATTTAATAGGAAACTAAAATTGATTAACTACCAACTAGCTATGAGTTTTGATTAGCTCCGATTTATAATATAAATTATAATGCTCCAAGTTTACTTTGGAATTAGAAGAACTCTACGACCTAGTGTTATTAATATATTTATACAAGGATATTATTTAATGTTATTTATATTTTAAATTGTTTATTTAATTTTTATGATAATGGCTCATGGATTTTATTTATTATGATATTTCAAAGGTTACACAGATTTTTTATTCATAAGAAACTGCTGCACTATGCGCATTTATTAGAAGTTTGCTAGTAGAAGTTTCCGTGTGCTTTGTATTGAACCAAAATTCAGCCTCACGTGCCAGCCTAATAAGGGGCGTGAGTACATAGATGTTTAAATTATTATAATAAGTAAAAAATTCTATGGAGCCATCGGATGGTTTTCTTATGGAGTCATCCACCACTTAATGTATTGACACCTGTTCAAAGTGTATTTATTGCAGGACACGTGTCAATACACTATTGGTGAATAAGTGTGGATGGCTCCATAAGCCGAGCCATCTGATGGCTCCATAGCAAAACTGTATAATAAGTTACATACATATATATAACATTAAAATTATAAATTAGATAATAGTATTAAATTTAAAATTTTTCATTAGTAAAAAATAAATATTATAAAAGTATTCAGCTTCATCACTATATTGATTAAATAAAATGAAATTGATTAGGTAGTTTTTATAAATTTGAAAGATAATGCCCCTTTAATTATCTTAAAAAGTATTATTATTATTATTATTATTATTAATAGTTTAATAGGTTTGGTCTACTACTAAAGAGAATTAGCTTATTCAAAAAAATATTTAAGAACAATAAATAGTTTAAGAAAAAAAAATCAATATAATTTGTTATACTTATTCAACTTTCATATATCATTTACTATTATATTAAAAGAAAAGTAATTGATTAAGTTTCACTTACTGGTTTAAAAAAAATATTGGATTGTAATGAGAAAAGGTGAAAAATCTAAATAATTTTATTAGCAATTATACATATATTTATAGAGAGAGATATTAAATATTCATTGATTAGTGAGTTGATTAAGGTTTTAATTAAAAGAAAAAAATAATAAAGTAAATATGTCTTTGTAATATCTTTTATAGGGAAAATAAATGATGTTTTATTAATTGTTTGGTAGCAATTATATATATATTATAGGGAAAATAAATGATGTTTTATTAATTGTTTGGTAGCAATTATACATAAAAAGTACCGAATTATGTTCGGATTTGGTAGAGATGTTATTTAATTTGTGATGACTCTTTCTTTTATAAAACTAGTATGTACCCGTGCGATGCACGAGACAGTGATATTAAATGAGTTACTTTCACAGGCTTTAAGTCTAAAAAGAAATTAGATTATCATCTATTTTTCACCTCTTTAATCATCAACGTTAAGTCTAAAAAACAATAGAGTTATAATATATTTTGCACCTAAACATGTCAAATGGGCCGGCGGGCCGGGTCGGCCCGCAACCCGCCAAAACCCGTCGTTTGGTGGAGCGGGGTGGGCCGGCTCGCCATCTCGGCGGGCCTATGAAATAACAGCCCGTCCCAACCCCGCCGTGGGCCGCGGGCTTGGCGGGCAGGCCCGCCACAAAATAGTTATAAAAGAAAAAAAGGGCTACTGTGCACTTGAATGGGAGCCAAAAAAAAAAAACTGGGCCCTTCTCAAATATGCATCGAATTGAAAAAAGTGCATAATGCATAAATATGCATCTGTATGTATATATCTAAAAATAGTAAATTACAGACAAATCTAATAGTAGTTGCAAGTGAAAACATGAAGGCTTATTTGATTCTTGAAAGAAGACCCATAACTCTGTTATGTTGTATAATGTACTTATGTTTTGGTTTAGAAAAAAGAAAGGAAAAGAAACATTTATCTGTTAAGTGTAAAGTATTACTGTTAAAACTTAAAACTTGTATTGTGTTATCTAAAAACTAAAATTGTTTCATTTATTTTTTTAATGGCAGCTGGCCCGCCTGGCCCGCTCCGTCAAAACCCGCGGCCTATTTAGGCCCGCTCTTTGGCGATTGAATATGGATTCTTTCTTATATCTGGATAAAAGATTTGATCTTTAATTGCGATTGAATATCGATTTTTTTTTATATCTGGATAAACAAAAATAAAATAAAAAAGAAAAAAAATTAGGGAATAGATGAAATATTTTTTGAATTGAAAAATGAATGCAATA